ACCCAGACATCGCTGAGTGTGAAAACTGTACAGGAGGTGTCTGTGTTGCGGTCATAGGTAATGAGGTTGAACCCGCCAAATATCCAGTATATAAACCCCAAGTTAGATCTGCAAACATAGACCCATAATAGCCTCCAGGAGGGGTCATCTGTGACAGTGGCGGCGGCGAGGTCATAAAACCAGGTGAAGAAGGCGGCGACATATGGTAATGGAAAGACGATGGATGCATCATATATGATTGTGGCATCATAAATGGCTGCGGTGGCTGCTGTGAACGTCCTACTGGTGCAGCTGAGGATGAACCAGAAGCACCTGCTCTCCGTCCACGAGTCGGGGGACGATGGTGCTGTGTCGGTGAATGTCTCTGTCGACGTCGTGGAAAGGTCTGCCCTCGTGCATCATCGGGAAGTAGAAACAGTTTCCCGTTACTGTTGAACCACTCATAATAACCCTCAGCATACATCAAGATGTCAATACAAATGGGCTCTCTACGGGGAAAGCGCCGATGTCGATCCTCCCACAACACGACCCACTCATGATGCCTCACCAGCCAATCTGTATCTGTCTTGTCGCGTCTATCTAAGCTATGCAACTCGTCCATATTGCGAGGTGCTTCCGGAATTGGTTGAAAACAACTAAACTGCCGTAGCACGCGATCAGTGGAGTGCCACTCGACGGTCGCATAACAGATCAGAGGGACCATCGCCATCTAAACATCTGATGGACCCCTCAACTCAGGTGGGATCACCGCCCTCACATCATCAGTAGAATATGACACCTATTCAAACTAAAACAAATAATATATAATTTTTATCAAAATAATAATCTAATTATATAACTATAATCTAAAATCGATTTTTAAACATTAAAATTCATACCTGTGTGCCAGCCTTCTGATCGATTAGCAACCTAATTTTTTCTAAATCATCAGGTAGCTCCTGATGATTTTTCCTATTAGTAGACCACCTATTCAAGGGGAAAAAATTATTATACGCCGTATAAAATTATTAATATACAAAATCAGTTTTATAATTACCTCAGAAGTAGTGGAAATATGAATGGGTTCTTCACAACGGGACATAAAAAGGGCAATCGATAACATGCCCAAGACTGCAGCAGCAGGAGACATCCGCCGATAGCATTACGCCTGTAGTCAGTGACTCCACACATCTCCCTGTACAGCAAAGCCAAAACTACCGTGCCCCAACTGAATGATCCGACGAGACGAAAGTCGCTAAGATATCGCAACCACATGCAGTGAACTAGGTTGCGCGATTTTTTTCGGCATCAGCAACCCTCCTATCAACTGCAATATGCATTCTCGTGTATACATCTTAATCTCATCCTCAGAGGCGTCTGCGCTCAACTCCCAAAAATTGACATCTAACCAATTTAACGGTATCCTACCTCTGATAAAACTTTCTGAGACACGTCCTAGATTATCCCGACACAAAGTAGTCCAAGAACCGAAAGCTATCCTTGATATCACATCTCCATCCACCGGAAGCCCCAGGTGCATAGAAACATCCTCAAGCGTGATTGTGCACTCTCCGCACAGAAGATGGAATGTGTGGGTCTCCGGCCTCCACCGCTCTACTAAGGCAGAAATAAGGTATGGTTCTATCTTACAGGGACCCTGATATCTACCTATGTAACCAAATCCAGCCTCTACTAAATACGGCAAGACACGGCTAGGTATCACTAACTTAAGATTCCTAATAAAAGGATCTAATACACGGTCCTTCTCCTAAAAATAAATAATTACAAAAATTAATTCTTAATCTAATAATCATGCATTAAATAAATCAACTAATTATTACTAATAATTTAAATTAAATTAAAACGTTAAAATGTTACCGTATCAGCAAAGTGTCGAGATATATGATTTCCATCCAAGCGAAGTAGATTGCCTTCCATTATATATCTGCAAAAGAATTATATTAGTAAAATATTAAATAAAGTAAAATACTTAAATAAATTAAATACATAATAATAAAAATATTATAAAATATACCTTAAATAGAGAGAGTATTTGAGAGAAATTGAGAGAATTTGATGTGATAAAAGTGATTGAGGATAGGGATATTTATAGGGAGGATTGGGGTGTGGATGGGTGGGTAATTAAAGGTATAGTGCCCCCTGTATCGCGTTATACCCACGTGTCAGATAACCAGGTATAGCGCGGCCCCTAATTTGCGCTATACCCCTACGTGACGTATAACGTGGATCAAGGCCGCTCTATACCCCAAGTGTAACCTAGTCAGCGTATAGCGCGGTTCAGGGCGCGCGCTATACGCCACGTGGCACCAAATCAACATATAGTGCGGGGCAGAGGGCGCGCTTTACTGCTACGGGTGTTAGATCGGGAAATATAATCTGACCGGTGTTAGATCTGTAAATATACCGATCACCGGTGATTTTTTGAAAAAAACGTCGAATAAGATGCTCTAATATTATAAAATAAAAATAAAATAAATCTAAAAAATATGATTTGTCCTATAATTATGGCATACCCAAAAAAAATGTCTTTAACGTTTGATTAAATAATTATTTTTATCACTATTTTTATTTGAGTATTTTCAATTCAACATTTGATTTTGGAATAAAAATGTTAATCCGTGAATGAAAACTGTTAGTCAATAAACAAATGATTGAGGCTACAAAATATAGTTTTTGGCCCTAAAATAAAATATTGGTGCCAAAATACTCCAAAAAAAAATAAAGATTAAAATTATTATTTAATCAAACGTTAAAAGTATTTTGACTTAAAATAAAATATTAGGGTCAAAACACGTAAAAAAATAAGGATTAAAATAACTATTTAAACGAACGTTATAAATAATTTTTTGATAGTATACATTTTATTTATCTAAAAATTGAAACATTATAGAATAAGTTCTCTATGTTAACGTGAAAAGATCTCACAGGAGAGCGAACACTGCAAAATATTGGCAAACTTTGAAAAATTAATATAAAAATAATTTCAAAAAATCCAAAGCTATCACTCATATTTTAAAATTAACCCTTAGATTTCAAGAAGTTCTAATCGAGTCCCAAAGAATCAATATTGCATCGATTAAGTATTTACACAAGTCTAACCACTAGTTTAGTCATTAAATTTTAGTTTAGATCTAATGTTGAAAATATTTGAAATAAATAGATTGAATTGCCATTCATGTGTGTTATCATTATGAATAGACGGCTTCAGCCCTCCCATATTTTTACAGCATTCAACCTCCTCATCAAACCCTTGGACCTGATTGCGTTTATTGGATAGACGGATCCAAGAGAATTTTCAATACAAAGAGTGCTTACAATCATCTTTCCTCACCGCTTTGGAATGATAATGGTTAGCGCTGGAAGCTTATTTGGAGTTTGTCCCCAAACGAGTTCGTGGTTTCCTATGGCATGTTAGAAACGACAAAATTCTTTCAAACCACAACAGATGCCGCCGGGATCTAAGCCAGAATCCAGCTTGCACCGCCTGCAATGCCTCATCTGAAACCACTTCGCACATTCTCCGTGATTGCACTTTGGTACGTGCCTTGTGGTCCTCGTTCATTCAGTTCTTTCCATGTAATGACTTCTTTGATATTCCTCTGTTTGATTGGGTTCAGATAAACTTAAATTCATCGAGACACATCGCACGTTATGGTTGCCCCTGGAATATTATTTTTTTCGTCGTTTGTTTGGCAAGTTTGGAAACGACGCAATATCCTCCTCTTTCAAGGTACAAACACTGATTTTTCGTGTTTAATCTACACAAGTCTCACCTGGGCTAAAGTTTATGCAGCACCTTCTTCATCCCTTGAAGTTGCTTTGTTCCCACTTGAAGAATTTGTTCAATGGTCTCCCCCGAACAGTGGAGATATTTGCTTAAACACAGACGGGGCCGTTTCCCTTTCTACAAATTTAGGTTCGGCTAGAGGTCTCCTTAGAGATTGTGAAGGATATTTTCTTTCAGGTTTCAATAAACAGTTGGGTCACACTTTTGTCCTTCAATCGAAACTCTGGGGTGTCTTTAAAGGCTTGAAGTTGGCATGGGCAAATGGGTTCGAAAGAGTGGTGGTCGTTTAGATGGATAATACGGATACTTACAATCTGCTCTCTCCCTCCTCTCCGTCAAGTGCACATAACATGGCTAGATCAATTGCTATATTATGCAATAAAGCATGGAGTGTCGACTTCCAAGTCATCCGAAGAGGAGCAAATTCAGCTGCGGATCTACTAGCAAAGTTTCATGTTGAGCGAGATGTTTCTTATGTTGTTTTCAACTCACCACCAGATAGTCTGATTCCTATCTTGGTTAGAGAGATTCATGGACCTGTATAAGGGGTTGATGTACTAGCCACGACCTCATTTTCTCTTTCAAAAAGAGAGAAAAAAAAAGATAATCCTATGCTAATTCATGGTTATTAAATCATAAATTCTAAATAATAAGTATTAAATAGGGCAAGTAACATTAAAAATAAATAAGATTACAGTTTACGCAACTCATATATCAGATGTTTTTTTTTATATTTTAAGTGGTCAAGCATTGTATTTTATTTACCCTTGTTCTTTTTTTTTCCTTACTATAATATTTGGTAGCTAAATTTTATTTTATTTCTAAGAATTTTTTGTTCAATTTACTGTCTAAACTTAATCTTTTGTCTCAATTTGATACTGAGTATTTTTTCCATATGGTAAAGTATCAAACTGACACATCACATAAAGGGTTGAAAATAAATAAAAAAAATTGTCAAGCTCGGGACTAATGTTGACAAAACAAAATTTAGGAATAAAATAATTTCCAAATTTAAGGACTAAAAGTTATATTATCCCAATAATGGGGTCATGGCAAAGGCCTTCCAATGGCCCATGCTCCGGTTTTCGACTGAACCACCCAAACCCAACCGAACTTGTCCTGTGAGCATAGCTATTTAATGATGTGATAGTAGTCAAAGCTTATTCTTTTATTATTCTCCTTCAAAGAACAATAGATCAAGTGACAAGAGCCTGAATCCTAGCCTCGTTGTCAGTTTCCCTGCACTAAGAGTCTAAGAGCACAGATCCAATTCAATCTTCCTCAAATTCCATATTCTCAGATCTTTAACGCCAAACAGATGCCGGGGAAGGCTGACGTGAGGCGGTCGGTGATGTTCCGGTCGGCGGTGTTCGTGGTGTTGCTGTGTGGTTTGAGTAATGTTCCGGCAGGTGACGCCATATGGTTGAATGTTCCTCAGACCGGAACTAAGTGTGTCTCCGAGGAAATCCAGAGCAACGTCGTCGTTTTGGCTGACTACGTCGTTGTTACCGAGGATCACGGTCACATACATACCATTTCTGTCAAGGTTCATTTCCGATTTTGCCCCTAGTTCCCAATTTCGATCTGTTAGGACAAGATTGTTAGGCTTTGACTAGTTTTGAATCGCTTTATTTATTCCTTTATTTTGACGAATGAATAATAACTAATATAGTTTTGAATTTCAGAAAAAAGTAGGAACAGTTCATAAATTTTAAATCAAATTAGATGCAATGGTTAGATTTGTTAATGTTGTGCTCGAAATAGCTTGTTTTCGATGTAGACGTAGGAATTATTTTGTTTTAGGGGAATTAATTTATCATTTTAGCTATGAGATGAAGAATTAGCAAATTATGGAAGAACCTGCATGGAGTTCTTGGATTAGAATCCATTGGTATTTAGATTGAACTATTGACTCGCTATCTCAAAGTTATTATTTGTGGAATAACCATTTGATTTTGAAAGGATGGAAATTTAGGGATGATATTGTAAATGTAATGAAGCCAACACTGAAGTTGTCCCTATATTTTCTGGAATTTGCTTCTTTATCCCAGATTTACTCTGTAGGATACTGTACCATGTTTCCAGACAGGTACTAGATCACTGCTGGCTCGGTAGTTTATCTTTGGGATAAATCAACATTTAGTCCCTAAATTTAGGAAAATTTTCCCAAATTGCTCCCTGAACTTTTTTTGGGTCCATGTTAATACTTTAATTTGGTAAGTTTTCCCATTTTAGTCCTTTAGATGACGTGACACTCTAATACTATGCCATATGACACAATCTTAGTGTGTCACGTCATCAAAATAACCAAATATCCAAGTTCAAGGACTAATGTGGACCCAAAAGTTCAGGGACCAAGTTGGGAAATGTTTCCAAGTTCATAGAGTAAATATGTCGCTTTACCCTTTATCTTTTCAATATGATCTGCATCTCTGAAATGGAAACTGTAAACACCAATGGTGACACCTCGTTTAGCGTAATTTACTTGCAGCAAACTTCTAACTCCCAATTTGTATTGTATAGGTGACATCCCCTTATGGGAACAATCTTCATCACAAGGAGAATGTGACCCATGGTCAATTTGCATTCACAACTCAGGAGGCTGGCAACTACCTAGCATGTTTCTGGTCCGAGGGCCATTACCAAGGACCTGGAGAACTTAGCGTCAACATTGACTGGAAAACTGGCATTGCAGCTAAAGACTGGGAGTCAGTGGCCAGAAAAGAAAAAATTGAGGTGAGAATTTTTTTTCTTTCCTAGTTTAATCATTCTTCGGGACTTCAGATTTAGAAGGGAAACCATGGGTATGAAATGGTTTGAAATTTTGGATTTACAGTCATTCTCCTAGTCCCAGTGTTGACTAAAATGTTGGTTCGAAATGATTTTTGAGATGGTTGAACTTGAGGATTTTTATTGCTGCTGGTATGAAGATCACCAAAGAGCTCTTTTATCACAAGATTGTGTTTTATGTAAACCACAAGCTATACCAATAAGCTTTTGCTCAAAAAGAATTTAGTATTTTTTTTTCATTTCATCTTTTTGCTCTGTAGAATTTGTCAGGCTAGGCAGATAGAATGATCATTTGCATGTCCAAAGCTAGGAACTATATATTGCTGAGTCTAACATTTTGAATGATCTTGGAATTCATTTGATAAGTTTTGTTGGTTTAACGACTTAATAAATTGGTTTCTGAAGAAATAAATGAATTGGACTACCAGATGAATATGGTATTATATTTAAATTGCAATTGAATGTTATCTCATATTCTTTTTTCGATACATTTCCCATCTATTATTCATTTGTGTTCCATTGCTTATTTACATATAGGGTGTTGAGCTCGAGCTGAGGAAACTCGAAGGTGCAGTGGAGGCCATTCACGAGAACTTACTCTATCTGAGGGACAGGTAATCTTGGGGCTTGCTCAAAGTTTAAGCTTGTTTTAAAAAGTAAGCTAACACCCTATGTGTGTGCCGCAGAGAAGCGGAAATGAGGGCTACAAGCGAGAACACAAACGCTAGAGTCACATGGTTCAGTGTCATGTCTTTGGGTATTTGCATTGCGGCTTCGAGTCTGCAAATTTGGTACTTGAAGCAATACTTTCAAAAGAAGAAGCTCATCTGAAGTTCTAAACACGTTGATTGGTAGGAGAGAAAATTCCAAAACTTGTTTTTCTTTTCTTTTCATGTATGTTCTCCAAGGAAAGTTTTGATAACTTTAAGATTACATTACAATACTATGATAATTGCTTTAGTTTCCGGACACTTCAATTATGCTGGATATAGGACTAGTGTTGTAATTTAACTGAACCTAGCCGAGTTCAAGCTCAATTTAGTTTTACTTTTGAAACTCAGATCGAATTTTTCGAGTTTGCGAAATTAGTTTTAGGTTATCATGTTCAACTCTAAGGTTGATGATTTGTGCTCAAGTCTTTCAAGTAAAGCAAGAGATTCGAATAATAGTATTGTGAATGAGTAATAGTGTTTAGGAGGGTCATCCTTAATAGACTCGTGTAATATTTGATCCGAATTAGATCGTTAACAAGTAATATATCTATTAGTATATATATATATATTTGATAAAACAGTTGTATCCAAAGGCCAAAGGGTCAAAAGTAGGTCCATCAATCAAATCAACCATTAAACTTGTAAAATTCAAGTCAAACCAAATTGTTTTTGAATTTTCAATCCCATTTAATCCATTGAGCTAATTTTTTATCTAAATTCCTTGTTTGTTTATGTTAAATTAATTATAATTAAAAAAATAAAAGATTTAATCGACATAATTTTCTCAATTTGCTTGAAATGTGACTTTCGTTAAAAAATAATTTTCAATCAATTAAAAATTGCCACGTCGTAAACATCACCACGTGTTACTGCATTATTAACAGACACGAAGCCATTTGTTTGATGGGAGAGGTGTGGCGCTCAATTTTTTTTGGTAGAATAGTATTTTAAGTCCTTGTTAGTGTAAATATTAATCAAATAAAACTTTTATCCTTCCCCATCTTCAGATTTAAATACTTAATGAGTCTTTGTCTCTCTCAATTTTTTATCCCAGTTTCATTCCTGATCATTAAGCCATATCATCGTGATCATCACTGAGTGCCAATTTAGTACAAACTTAAAAATACAAGTACCAATTTGCAATTAAGCCAAAATAAGATAAATTGGAGATGAATTGTCCAATAAGCTTGCACCCCACAAGTGTTGGGTAACTGTTACCCAATCAAAATACACATCAAGATGTAGGCATAATTAATTGTAATTGATGTACAAATGAGATCATTGACTTATCATTGGTCCACGTGCATGACCCATATTGGTAAACTTTTTCCTTAAAACATCCACATGCCGATGTGGGTGACCCAATTCGATCTGAGGTGTCACATTAGGGCCACTAGAGTGACCCACAGTAAAAATCTGAAAAATTTAAAATTTCTGTTAAAACGTGTAAAATCATAAAACAAATTATACTTAAAATACAAGTTTAGAAAATCATTCATATACTACAAACATAATTAAAATCATACACGTTTCAAACTCGGATATAAAAACATAATACCATCTATATGCCCCCTAAACACATGCACCGTACTCGCAAGAACGCCGGTGGAGTTACTGATAACGATAGTTGCACTGAATCAATTTTTTTAACATAAAATAGTGAGTAACATAGTGAGCTTTGGAAAGCTCAGTAATACAAAACTACCAAGTGATGCTGAATGGCATGCATATAATAGGCAAGCAAAATTTTCCTTATTGATTTTTTTGATGAGCGGAGGTCTCATTGATATTTTAGGTAGTAAAAGACATGAAGCATACATTCAGAGAGAACGTTAGAGAACCATGTTTAGGAGATCAGAATAGGGTGTCTAGTGTGTTCCCACAAAACCAATGAAAATGTACAGATCTTTTAAAACAGTAGCAGTTTAAAAATTATTTTTTAGAACCATGGTAAAACCCTTCAATCGAGCACCAATATACAGTTCCCCCAGAACTGCATCCATAAGGACTTACCCTAGGCCCATTAAGCTTAGGTGTCAATATAAGGGAACACCTTGGGTCCATAAGGTCTTACCCTAGTCGAAGCGTAGGTGCCCGCCTGAGGGGAGTGCCTCAAGTCCATAAGGACTTACCCAAAGCACATAGCAGAGGTGTCACCCTAAGGGAGTTCCTTAGTGTTCATAAGGTCTTCCCATTAACCCATTAGGCCTAGGAGCCCACCCAAGGGTCACCTTAGATTCATAAGGAATCGCCAGCTTGATATGTCTGAACCTATATAAGGAATAACCAATTTGACTGAGCTGAACCTACCGTAAGGAATTACCAGTTTGATCGGTCTGAACCTATATAAGGAATTACTAGTTTGATCGAGTTAACCTGTAGAGACTTCATACCAGATCCCAAATACCCTGAAAAAACATTTTTTTCATACAGTAACCAGTAGTAGCAGGAAATCAAAGTTATGACATATCAATTCAGTAGAAACGATATCCAGAGATCATGAATCAGACATACAAACTTAAAACTTTAGTAACTTAGAATCTCGGTAAAACACATTTCAAAACAGATAAAACAATCATATAACACATGGAGAACACACTAGAGGATCTAGATATTTTTCGAAGGTACTGTATTTACCAGGTAGGGAGTCAATGAAACTTATGTAAATTTATTAAATTCATAAACGAGATTCATGTAAAAGGTTTTGATAGTTGACAAATTCATCAGTTATTCAGGACATAATTTATCAAGATCATATAGTATTCAAATATTTTTTGGAGGCATTATGAATCAGAAAGGTATTCAGAATCATTTGCATAAGTGTTACTTGAGATTTCAGATCTGACATGAGTGTTTCCACTATTCAAGAAAATCATGGGCATTTGGACATCAATTTCTTAGAGAATTCTTAGTAATTTGATATAATAAGGGAGAACGATGATTCATGGTATTGAAGATCCTTGTCGATTTATTAGCATATTGAGTTAACTCAACTGAATAAATCCCAGCACTATGATACCGGTCAACTAGCCAAATCGTTACACTTCAAGGGTATTCACACTTTAATACTGACAAATCTTGTCGAACTGATCATCTTCAGAATCATCTTTAAATGGATCTTAGGGAAACAAACAGGTATTCAGTATTCTATGACTTGGGGTTACCTTAGGTCGTTACTCTTTAGGGGTATTTTGGTAACTTTACAGTTCAAGGGTATTCAATTATTTTCTTCTAGTAATCTATTTATCATATGGTTTTGTCCAAAAACCATAAATTCTAAATTTTTTGCCATCTTAGAGGTTAGAAATCGATTATCCAGATTTTCTAAGTAAAACTAGTATTTTCCATGTACAACAGTAGTTTTATCAGATCAATGTCTTTTTGGAGTTCTTTCTCCACTTCTAGGGAAAATTATTTTCTTTTTTCAATATAAGGGTATTTTTGTAATTTTACCCTTAAGGGTATTTTTGTAATTTTACCCAACCAAAATATTGTCATAATTTATCATCCAAGTATCTTTGGCATTTAACCTTTAATGAGATAAATCAGAATTTACAGATCCAGAGATTGATTACTTTACCACTTAATTAAGGAACTTGTAATTAAATTCCTATCGGTCCCCCAATTTCTTATACGAGTCATCTGAGTCATATTCAGTTACCGATTTTTACCGTATATAGATTGAGTTTAGAGTTAATTTACTATATAGATGAGACCAAACATATTCATCCATGTATTTACCAATTCCAACATGTTCCATAAAGCATGCATAATGTAGTAATGTATTACCTCGATTTTTGTTCTCCACCAATCGAACATTTAAACTCCATTCGATCGCCCCGAACTTTGATTACAAGTCCCATAGTGTCTTGGATACATAGCAAACAAATTTACGCCAGAGACCAAATTTGATTCTAAGATAAATAACTGAAAAACGACTTACCGAGTGTAAATGTGGCAAAACGAACTTTGGATTCAAACTCAGTATGTCGAAAAACATAAAATATAACTTTTCGAAAAATTTGACTTTTTGAGTCAAAGTCAACGGTCAATGTCAAAGTCAGGTCAATAGTCAAAGTCAACAGTCAACTCTGGTCAAAGCCAACGGTCGGTCAAAGTCAACGACTTAGTTCGTTCGGGTTGACTCAGTTCGGTCCAAGTTGACTCAGACATATTCGAGGTGACTCGAACCGGTTATAGGGGATTCCAAGCCAGGGGATGAGCATCACGCGTACGCGAGGACGCGTGACAACGGTGACAGGGGTGGCCGTCGACTACTCAAAAATCACCAATACAACTGTTGAGTTAATCGATTGACGGAATTGGTAATAAAAATTTGGTGGAAGCTTTTGCAGAAAATTGAAAGAAATTGCACAGCGATTTAGAGTGGTTCGACTTTATCAACCAAAGTCTATGCCCACTACCTTAGCTATCCACACTAAGGATTTTCCAACAAATTCACTAATTTGTTCTTTCTTTTGAGGCCAAAGAGATAACCTTACAACTCCTCAAGAATATACCCCAATTCTTGAGAACACTCTTTTCTCAAAGAGAAATACAAATTTGCAAACTTACAAGAAAAACCTCACAAGGCAAATACGTTTGCACAATTCTAGAACAAAGAAAGAACACTCAAGAATAAATACAAGTGAGCACAATAAGTGTTCTTGAAAGCAAAAATGAATATTGAATGAAAAATAGGCTTGAAATGCTCAAACTTGAGGTTTGATGTTTTCTCTTTGATTCTCTCTTGATTCTAGTTGCTTGATGTTTCTTGTTGTTGATCAATGGCTTCTAAGCTTGCTTAAATACACCTTGAATCACTTCTAAATGTTGGGGATGATTAGAGAAGATAATATAGCCGTTTTAGTGTGAAAACAATTAATAAAGCAGCTTAGAGCGTGGGGGGAATCGATACCGCCTATGGGGAATTGGTTCCCTAAGTGTAAAATTCAAATATTTCGACCGTTATACAAGGGGGGAATCGGTACCCCCTTGGGGGGAATCGGTTCCCTCCGAGCATACTGGAATTCTCGGAACCAAACCATTCAGGGGGGAATCGGTACCCCATTGGGGGGGAATCGGTTCCCTATGAGCAATCTGGAATTTTTGGCTTTGAAATGGTTCGAAATACTTTGTAAAATTATTTTGAAA